AGAATTGGAAGAGTGAGTCTGGAAGGACCAAGTTTTAGAGCCAGAGATTGAGCCAGGCCAGCCTAATAGAAAATGCCAGAGTCAGCTATTTACTTATCTCTAAGCAGAGAGCTAGACATGTAGAGTCCTGAGTACATACATGTTAAAAACTGATAATATTGAGGGCACTCATATGCCATTAGAGAACATTTAAATTGCATAATGTTCAGTAGAGGAAAAAAGTTCCCTCTGCAATGCATTTTAAATCTCAAACCTTGGTTTCATTCCTTCCCTTCTGGTTATCAGTAAAAAATAAGCCAAGATTGGTTTATCCAGCAATAAATAACCTTGCTAAGGAATATTGTTGAAAGTGAAAGTAGACACTCTGTATCTTAATAACAGGGAGAAAAAAAATAAGTGTTTTATACTTTCTTCATAAAATCCTGAGAACTCCCCAAAACTCGTAACAGAACAATCTGAAAAGTTTGATTCAATAAATATTTTCATATGGTCTTACAAATAATTCCATGTGTTCTGATGAAATATGTATTGCTGCTTGTCTTGTTCTCCACCAAATGTGGATCTGTGGGCTTAACAGCACAGCGCTTTCAGCTATTCTGAACATTCACAATGATAGCAATTCATTCTACAGCTGCAAGTTTGGCAGACTGGCTGGTGCAAATATGGAAGTCCCCTGAGCTTATATGAATAGCAATATTAAATAATTATTTTAGGAGTATTTGGTATGTCTTTCCCTCCTTTATGCGTCAGAGAAATTTGTTAGTTATCTACAATTCTTTTTCATTTGATACTTGCCTTTGCAAGTACAGACATTGGGAGTATATTATAGTTTAAATTATCAGAACTTTGTTTAGATGATTATGTGATTATTCCAAGAGTTCACAACCTATAATATTCTTTCTCAATTTGACTCTGTCCAGATGTGTTAAACTACAGCTCTCATAATCTTCTATTCAGGAAATATGTGGTGGTTAGTGATAATGGGAGTTAGTCTAAAAGTATACCAAGCTAAAGAAGGCTGATTTAAAAGAATATAGTGACTATTCCTGGTTCAGATTACTGTAATTCCCTTGCCCTGACATTGGCAAATTTCATAAGAAGTTTATTTGGGCTTAATTTAATGTGCTGTGCGAACCTAGCTATTATGGTTTATAAACCATGGCTTGTGCCTTAGAGTGGTGTATAAACCTAGCCATTGAGGCTTTCTCAACAATTTATTGTTAAAACAAATCTAGTGGATATGAGATTATCAGTTTATATGTGTAACTTGTATGTGCAAGCCGCAAATAACAGTTCATGAATGTGAATAATTGAAAAGCACACTCCAGTGTATTAAGAGATGTGGTTTTAAGAGGAGTTGTTCTTTCAGTGTTTTGACAGTTGTTGTGCCATCTTTCCTATTAATGTTCTAGCACTAACTTTGGATCCTTCTTTTGGGCAACAATATCCATTCAGTACAAGGCTATTGGTAGCTCTTTAAGTATTTATTTGATATGTTTGGTCAAGTGATTTAAGAGCTATTTGAAGATAAAGCAGCTGATGACTGTCAGACCTGAGATGGTAACTACTTTGGGTTTACAGAGAGAGAGAGAAATTGTGAAATTGTAGCCACGCATATATATTATAATGCCAAGCAGTTTTGGAGAAACCAATCTCTTTTGGTTTTGGATATTTTTAATATGATAAAAAAAACATGAAAATATTTCTGGGTTTCAGATTGAATGGTTATAGCATCTTTTCATTCAGATTACCTTTTGTATTAATCTGTACACAATCTAAAATTCAGTTTAGTGGTAGAGTTAAAACAAATATTAGCAAGCTGTTATGAATTCTATGAGTTATTCTTTTTTTTATTATTTATTGCTTTTAAAGCTGTAAGCTGCCCAGCCTCTAAATGGTGTAAGCAAACAAGTAAATGTTACTTTATTTGTAAAATAAAGAAGCTCGAAAGAAATTTAGCTTCTAAGATTATTGATGTGATTAATGGATAGAAATATGCAGAGTGCAGGATAGTTGGAACCAATGGTTGTATATGGCTAGCTTTTAGCATGGTAATTGACTTCATGTGTGTAAGAGATGGAGAACTAGAAATATGTATTTCAGTATATCTGCATACATATTAAACCATAAAGAGAATTAAAATAAGATTTAGTAAAGCTTTGTTCCATGTCAGGGATTGGTAATGGTTTATTAATAAATTTGAATGAAGGAGTAGGGAAATATTTCTGCATTTTGACTCTTGCAAGGCTCAACCTCAGCAGAGCATGAATTATTTGGTTCATACAGCTGGGGGGCTAAAATAAAGAGTTTTATGGCGCTTTAAAAAGTCATGAATCTATTTACATAGTCTAGTCACTTTATCAGATGCATAGGGTGTTACCACTCTCTCCCCAAAATAACCAAACTTTCAGATCTTTTTACCCTCCCCCCCAAAGAGTTCTAAGAATCAAATATAGGTAGTCCCAGGTTAAGAACACCTGGGTTGCAGATGACCCATAGTTAAAAATAAAGCCACATAGCAAAATTCGAGTTAAATACACAAAGGTTCGAGTTCATTACACAGTACTACTTATACACTGTTACATAATAATACTGTTTCGGCTAACATGCAAATTCAACTTAAGGACAGACTCGTTCTTAAACTGGGGACTACCTGTATATCAAGTAGATTGCCAACACATTTTTATCACAGGATGGTCAGAAGGTGCTTTTACTAGCACATGCTTTATATTTGGTTTTCTGTTTGTTTGAGGAAGGTAGATTTCAGTTCCTGTCCCCTCCAAGTTATATTTTATTGTATCA